GGGTTATAGCATTACATTAGTTTAAACTGGTTTCCAACAACATTATCGTTTATCGCAATAATTTCTGAGACATTTTATCTTTTTGTCCAACATACTGTATGTCAAATTTTGTCCAGCAAAATTTTTTATCGTGACAGTCCTGGTGACGAGGTGAAGAAGATTCAACACAATCTGCTGGATTCTTTAGATTTATTGTATGTTATGTACAGTGCCTAGAGACAACCTTTGTTGTGACTTGGTGCTATATAAATAAACTGAATTGAAATGAACTGAATTACATTTATCAGGCTATAATCTCAGTAGGTTGCAAAGTGAACATAGTGATGCTGTGGCTCACAGTGAAATGTAGTCTCCCCTTAAACAGTCAGGCTTCACTACAAGTAACACGCTGCACAACAGGGATGGCTGGTAAACAAACGTTTACAGGAACCTCATCTTCATATACAAACTAACACAGTTTAAACTTGTTCTTTCATCGCCAGRTTTAAATTCACAGCAGAGATTTGTTTTTAAAAAGCATTACTGTTTACATTTATGGATAAAGTGTACTACCCAATACTAACAGCCACATAGTGACAGTCTGACAATGTACTGSATGCACAGACAGATTCTCTAAATCAATAATGCACACAATTATCAACTACAGTAACAGCAATAAGTATGACTGAAACAAACATAAAAACACATTTCTAAACACTATTATTATCATACAAATGTGAGAGGCTGGATAAAAATCTCACTAGACYTGGTGGTTAGTTCTGTCAGCAGAAACCCACTTGAATAAAACTAAAGACGTACATTCCTGCAGCAGGGATAGCTTTAATTAAGTCTACACAGCTAGCTTTGGGGCAAARGCACCTTTGTTTTGAGCTGAGTAAGGCCACAGAGTCCTAAATCACAAGAGCAACAGGGAGAGATGAATTACAATAAAGGCAGTCTGGAGTGATCATAAAATCAAGCCATCCAATAGTGCTCTTACAAGGTGTTATTTATGTGTTTATTTTATTTATTTAAAAAGCAACGGAGGCAGAAAGCTGAGAAATAACACAGGGGTTTGCAATTGAGGGTGACTCATCTTTGTTTTCTGCTCTAAAAAAAAAGCATTAACCTCTTTAAGCACTTTGTATTGCTGCTGAAAAGTGTTATGTAAATAAATTTTACTTTACCTTACCTTACCTTTAGAATAACACTAATGTCAAACAACCAAAGTCTGTTTAATCTACAATATGGCAACAATTCTGTTATTTTATAAAAACTACCTGGTAGCTTTGTGGCCCCACACCTGTAGAAAATTTAAAATATGGGTGAAAAAAAAAACATTGTTTAAAAAATTGTTGCTGAATGAATAGCACTTTGTGCTTACTGGGACATGTCAGGTCTTTCTAAGTATTTTCACTCAAAAGCATCCTGAGCACTACTTTACAATTTCAGATTTTCAATTTCATCGTTGTGCRGTTTTAAGTTATAACAATGTTCAAACTGGCAGCTGTAAGCAACACAAAATTGATGTGATTAATACATTTGATCCTGTTTTTAAGGCAAAAATAAATTAATATCACAAACACACTAGAAACAGAGTTAACGGAAAAAACATACAAAAATGTATATATACAGTACATGTGGGCAGAATGAACCAAATTTTATTTAGAATTGTTTTTTAATTTTAGCAATATATTCATATTGCTAATAAGAAACATACCACTACTACTACTACTACTACTACTACTACTACTACTAATAATAATAATAATAATAATAATAATAATAATAATAATAATAATAATAATAATAAGCAAGATTATGATTATTATCATTTCTGTTAGAAAGAAGATAAGAAAAAAGAAGAATGAAGCTTGTTTTCTGTCGGCAGATTCATACACATCGTCATCCCTTTAAGAGCGTCCAACGCCCCGCACCACCGTGTTGTTTGTTGGCCATAGACTGCTTTGTWTTGTTTCAGTGCCAAATACAACCACAAATATGTCGGTAAATTGTTATTTTCCTAGGCTACGTGGTCTTTTTACAGTAACAAGAGATTAAGAAAAAACACATACTGGGAATTTTAAGTAAAAATTSAATTCTAAACTGGAATAACCAATTTTAGCTAGCTGTAGGATCAACAGAATTCTACACCAAACTCCATTTAAAACATGGTAACATTGCATTGCATGATACAAACATAAATGTAACCCATTTGCGACTAAACCTTTTGATAATATTCTATTCATTATACAGTTTAGAACAAAACGGTATCCATAGGAASAGCGATTTAGACCAAATCCAAGTTAAATTCCGTCGGACGGTACAACGATTTATAAAGGGTAAATGACGAGGCTATGATCGGCGACTCGTTAGGTTAAATTACAATTATAATCAAAAGGGTCGCGTTTTTTTTACTCGGAATGGATGCCGAATTAAAGATCAGATTAAATCTAGTCAGTAAAGCGGTAAATATAGAAATTTATAAATTATCTACATCCTGGAAGTATATGGTAAAATAAAAACGAAAGTGTTTTGTGAGAAGTTTGGAGAGATGACTCGTCGATGCTACCAATCACAGTTCGACACTTGAACAATGTTGCACAGCACAAACGAACTTACACAGGATGCAGTCATCATGAGCTGCACTTCATACTCACCGAGAAGAGCATTGAGTAGACATTTAGTGTGAATTTGATGAAGTAGTAGAAGTGGTTGCTTTTCCGCACTTCAGAGTAGGGCGGCATGGCCGCTTGATGACTATGAAGCTAGCTAACAAGTTGGCTAGCTTGCTATCCTCCGTTTTGAATGGGTAGTATGAAAGTGTTAAACGTAATTACATGTAAATGATATTTAATGACACACAAAACACSTTTATCAGTAGTAATTACAGTTTAGAAATTCAGCAGCTATCATTTCTAACACGGTAGTGTTACTACAGACCGAACCGAAACCACTTCCGTGCAGCCGGCTAACCCCACGCTTGTTTTGACTACATTTTTAAAGGGGCAGTGACGCAGGCTATTTATAGTTAGCCGACTATAACAATATACAACATGTTCATAATGCTTTAAATTCAAACTTCTGCTCGTCATACAGCAATACAGTAAGTTGAGAAAGTTTTTTTTTTATTGAAAACAATGCACAATACAAAATTGATACATAACAGTGTTTTATCTTTACTTAATGCAATAATATACCAAAACAATAAAGAACAATAAACTAGATTTTTTAAACCATTTAATTTAATTTGGAAGCCTTATATAT